GACCCAAGTTAAAATATGGGTTGAATAGCAGTTCGTCTATTGCCTGGATCGAAAAATGGTGGAGCCCAAAGCGTTAGTCAAGTTGAGCCCATGTGCAGGGCCTATAGCATGGACCCGGCTGATGTCATTATGTCTAAATCCGAGAAGATAAAATGAAATCCATCAATAATTGGAATCCACCAGAAAATAGAGAAAACCTCTCTAATTTTGTTAATAATATAATCACTTATGGCTCTCATCTTTTTGAATATCATTGTGAACAACTATTGGAACCACTTCTTCTTTCATCTTTTCATCCATCTCTTCTTGGCTCACCATAATTTAGGGTTGGCCTTGTAAAAAGCGAAAAACCTAATTTAAAGAAGCATTGAAATACTGGCCACTGCATCATGCAAAGAATTATATTGCTACTATTCCGCATAGAACTAACGTGTAGAAGCAGAACCCAATTGGAAAGCAAGACTTCCTCAGCCGAATGAGACTGAGCAGAGTACATGCACCAAAAGAAAATAAAAGGGCAGAAATAAAAATGAACAAATACCCTAAACAACATGAAATATATATATATATATATATATTTACAAATTATATATATATATATTTACAAAGTTGACAATATACTATTAGGATTGGAACTAACTTGTTACAGAACCATTGAGAAAGTCTAACCTGTTGTAAGCAAATGAAAGTGAATCAGATATAACTAATTGGTTGGAGCAGATATATTTTGGGTGATTTTGAACCATTTCATCAGTGTCGAATAAACAAAAAATATCAATGAAGGGTAATAATATAACTCGAAATGTAATTGGTAGAGAAATAATCGGATTCTAAACCATGAAAAAGAGTCTGCCGTAGCATGAGAAACATATAAAAAGTGCATCGAAAACAGAAGTTAATCATATGCGTCAAATCACTTGCCAACATCCAAAATAGAAATTCCTCGTCTAAGGCCTGAAGAAAAGAAACACATCATATCATATAGTAAGAGAAGATAGAGGGATAAACCCAAAATCACATAAATTTTTTCCAAAAAAAAGCTCTGCGGAGCGGAGACAAGAGAGAGGAAATAGATAGTGAAGAAATCAAACCCTAAATTCCCTTTTGTCTCAGTTTAGCATTCCAATATCTATCATGGGTCATGATGTTCAGGACCATGACTTGACGATGCTTGCACGCCAAGATAAGCTCGAGGAGGAGCTATCGAAGTTGCAGAAATCTGTAACCGAACTGATCAATTTGCTAAAATCAATGACGGAGGAGCTTTTCTTACTAGGCGCCAGTGATCCTTACCCAAGGTCAGTGTATGGCTTAGTAGATTTCATCTTAGTAATTTTTTTTTCTCTGTAAAATTGTTGATGTTCTTGATTCGAATTGTTGTTTTTTCTTTTCCAAAATTTCGATCAATCTTCTTTTTGTTTAGTTTCTATCGTTGTTGCGTGCATCCTTAATTATTCAAAGATTTTTTCTTGAAATAATAACCAGCTTCTTCTACTGGATAAATTCTCTCTGCTTTGTTTTTGTCCGGCTATCTTGATGATGTTACATATGTAGGTGTTTGAAAAAATTAACTTGACTTGTTCCATATATCTCTCTTATCTGTCCAGCTTGCACATGGATGAGGAACATAGATCTGTGCTTCTAGTGGGGTCTTTTCCTTGCGGGAAAATGCACTGATGCAATTTATGAAGTTGAATTCCAAGAAGAAGGTATGGGCGGAGGAGGTGTCAAACCCCGATTACATAAACATCTAGCCAAGTTTTCTGATGGTTGTTTCATCCAGAGTATCTTCAGCAGCTACAATTTATAAGTACTCCTCAGGAGGGTCTCATGAGACGTTCCGGGGCCCTCCGCACTAACTCAATGGGTGGACATATATTTGATACGGACACACTGAAAAAACCCAAGAATGACACGGCAAACCCAAAAAAAAATGAAGAAGAAAAGAAAACGGAGGTAGAAATCAAGCACACTACTATAAATTAGTTAATATAATTAATCGCATGCAGTTTAGCTCTTTGATCAAAGTCTAGTTTTCAGTTCCAAGAAATTAGACTATCGAAAGTCTTGATCTACTGAGCACAAAAATAAAAAAGAACTTGATTAAATAGCCATTGAATTTAGAGCAATATTATTCAGCAATCAGCTAATTTTTTTTATAAATTTTTTGATAAACAATCAGCTAAAAATTTTAGGTTGGCAACGGAAAGATTCAGTTTCGATTTTTTTTATAAACTAGCTAGTAATTCATGGTATTTTGAGTATGAAAACAAATAAATATTTTTCAACTCCACAAAAAATCTTGGAGGCCACCCGTTGAAAAATTGTAAGTACCAATAATTAAATTTTAAGCTAATAACTTTAGTTAGCCCCCCCGGTTAAAAAATTCCTAGTTCCGCACATGACATAATCATCCATCAAATAGTAAAAATAATTTGATTCAAATGCATTTGATAAAATAAAATAAAAACAATTAGTATGTAGCATCTATTGCTAACAAACTAGGTCTAATATACAAAGAAATGGGTGTGCAAATAATTTTATCTAGTCCAAGATAATTATAGAGTCCAATATCATCCATATCTAAACACTTAACCAACCCCAGAGTCTTGCCAAAAAAAAACAAAAAAACAAAAAAACAACCACAGACAATCTATACCACCCATATTAATATGGGCTCTGTGTTAAAATAGCTATTTTCATAACTTTTGTTCCAAATTAGCCAATGTCCCCCAGTGTCCTCGTAGCCATAGTTCCCTCTATGTTGTCCCCATAGTACCTCTGTAATATAAGGGTGGCTATTTTAGAACAAAAGTTGTGAAAATGGCTATTTTAGCTAATTTCTTTATTAATACTGCGGCTAGGGGAGCAATGTATTATGTAATCTCTGTACATGCAATAACCAGTATAAGTGAACCTTGGCTCTTACACTTTGTTAGAGCTTCGAGACATGGAATTTTTCCATTTTTCTAAAAAACAAAGGAATTCTATTTTAGGTATCATAAAGCATATGTTAGATTAGGGGTGGGCACGATCCAGTTTTAATCGAGAATTAGAATTGAAACCGAACTATTCATTCGGTGTGATTTCGTTTGATTTTAACTAAAAATGATCATTAAAACTGAACCAAGATTTTGCAGTACGAAGTAAATCAAATACTAATTACTTGTGTCATTATTGGATTGCTTTGCTTGCTATGTTCTTATATTCTCATCACAATTGTGCTAAATCTTGAATTGTTTATAAATTCTCGATTGTAAGTAAATAAAATGTTCAATATTTTCAAAGGTGGAAATTATCTTCACTTCTCGGGATGCCTAGACATGTCTAACCTCTATTAATTTTCTATTATATTATATTATAACATTTATCGAAAAGTATTAAACTCTGCTCTACACACTAAAAAGAAAGATCAACGAGGCAATCTTGGCATTCCTAAAAATAAATAAATAAATAAATAAATAAATAAACTAATTAAGGATTAAAGAGGCAAAATCTTTGGAAAGTTTTTCAATAATGAAATGAAGGCACGAGAAAATCACGTGCGAGTGTTAGAAGAGTTCCACGCCTTTTCCTCGGTTAAGGGCCAAGCGAAGCGAGGACCACTAATTTCAATTTATCGCCGTGGTTTTTCATTTCCTCGGTACTCCTTCCTTCATCTTTCCCTTCAAAATCGCCGATCCTAGTTCTCAGGTTCCGACCGCTCCGATTTTTTCTCTCAGCTCCCAGAACAACAAAGTAGGACTTGTGTCTCTCAGACCATATTATACAACCAGGTGCTCTCTCTCTCTCTCTCTCTCTCTCTCTCAGCTCAAATCCTCAAGAACAACATGAGCTCATTTATAGTAATTAATAATGATATAACTCAGTTTTGATTTGTGCCCAGTTGAGTAGAAGTTATTTCTGAAGCTCTATAATGATATAATTTTCATTTAGTAACTGACCTATTTATTAATACTTATTTAAAAAGACTTTTGGTGTTTTGTTTTGCTAAGCTACTCATGCATGATGCTGATGATTTACAAGTTAGGTGCTGTTAAGGTGAATAGTTTTGTGGGTTATTGGGAAATTAACATAAAGAGGAAGCTAACTGTATGGAAAATAAAATCTAAAAGACAATTTCCCAATTTGAGTGGAACACTGAAATGATCTGTTCATAAGCTAAAGACCATTTTGGTCAGTCTTTGCAGGCAACAATGCTCATTCATAAGGCTATCAAGCCTGAGTCAATGGATTGGTTGGTTCATTTGTGATGGGATACTTTCAAATTTAAGCTTGTGCCATAGGATTTAAAGTTCGGAAAACCAAAAGAGGATATATGTTTTCTATAAAGTTTTCTCGATCTAAAATTGAAGAATTTGCTGCCTAAAGATTCAGGGTAGTGCTTGATTTAATTGCCAGAGTTTATTTATTCGGATGGATCATAAGTTCATAGGTGATGAGATAATAAAAGTTCCCCAAGTAATCATAGTGACACAAAGAAGGGTGCATGTATAACTGGTCTTGTACTGTATTACTGACTTCATTCGTATCAGTACAGCACAGAGGTGTGATCCATGGAAATTCGTCTTTTATTTGCTTATACAGAAAAAACAAACAAACGAACAAGTTGCGAAGATGTATTTTATATCAATTAATGTCTGCATTTTGGTGCATTGCTTCTATGGAGATAAAGGAATTGAGATTTAATTAAAACTTAGATAATGCGAAGGAGGGGGTTGCAAAGTTATGAAACCAGGTAAGAAATGCATACTATGATTAATTTAGCATGCTTTGGTGCTTGCTTTTTACCATGCAAGGTTAAGCAAGTATTGGGAAGGCAAGTGGATGTTCTAGCATCTCTTAGATTGTCAAGCAAGAAGCCATTTCAAACTAATTGTTGTTTTGTTTTATTACATCAAATTATTTCTTTTTTAACAATTAATTTACTTTCTGTAAATTTAATTTTCATTTCAATGGAAAAACGAATAATTATTGAATTTTTTTAAATGTCGAAGATAATGGTTCGAGGAAGAGATGCCTGTTGGGAGCACTGTATCCTTGTTGATGCAACAAAACAGAAGGTTAGGTGTAATTATTGTCAGCGGGAGTTCAGTGGAGGGGTATATAGGATGAAGTTTCACTTAGCTCAAATAAAAAACAAAGATATAGTCCCCTGCACAGAAGTCCCGACCGATGTGCGAGATCACATTTTAAGTATATTAAGCACTCCCAAGAAACAGAAAACTCCCAAGAAACCAAAGGTGGATAAGGCACTTGCAGCCAATGGTCAACAGAATAGCTCCTCTGCTAGTGGTGGCTTCCAACCTAACCATGGGTCTAGTGGACAGAATGGAAGCACCTGTCCATCTTTGTTATTCGCATGCCCTTCACCAATTGCACACCTACCAGTGGATGATGTTCAAAAGCAAAAGCAGGATGTGGCTGATAAAAAAATTGCTGTGTTCTTCTTCCACAACTCTATCCCTTTTAGTGCTGCTAAATCCATATATTATCAGGAAATGGTGGATGCTGTGGCAGAGTGTGGGTTGGACTACAAAGCCCCGAGCTATGAAAGCCTGAGATCTACTCTATTGGAAAAAGTGAAAGGTGATATAAATGATTGTTACAAGAAATATAGAGATGAATGGAAAGAAACAGGCTGCACTATCTTATGTGATAGCTGGTCTGATGATAGGAACAAATCACTTGTAATATTCTCGGTTACATACCCTAAAGGGACCCTTTTTCTGAAGTCAGTCGATGTATCAGGTCATGAAGATGATGCTACTTACTTGTTTGAGCTGATTGAGTCTGTCGTCTTGGAGGTTGGTATCGAACATGTTGTCCAAGTTATAACGAATACTTCTGCCAGTTATGTTTATGCGGGAAGGCTTCTTATGGCCAAGTACAATTCATTGTTTTGGTCTCCTTGTGCTTCTTATTGTATTAATAAGATGCTGGAGGATATTGGTAAACAGGAGTGGGTGAGCACAGTTCTGGAAGAGGCAAAGACCATTACAAGGTTCATATATAGCCACGCATGGACTTTGAGTATGATGAGAAAGTTCAAAGGTGGAAGGGAATTGCTAAGGCCAAAAATTACTAGATTTGTGACTAATTTCCTCACCTTGAGGTCCGTTGTGATTCAGGAGGACAATTTAAAGCACATGTTTTCTCATACAGAATGGTCATCTTCAGTATACAGTAGACGCCCTGAGGCTCAAGCAATTAAGTCCTTGTTGTATTTAGAGAGATTTTGGAAGTATGCACAAGAAGCTGGGGACATGCCAGCTATGGGGTACATGTATGAAGGAATAGAGAGGGCAAAGGTTGCAATAAAGACTCATTACAAGGGTATCGAAGAGAAATATATGCTGCTCTGGGATATAATTGATCGGAGATGGAACATGCAGCTTCACTCGTCCTTACATGCAGCGGCAGCCTCCCTTAATCCTTCGATATTCTACAGTCCAAACTTTAAGATCGATTTGAAGGTGAGAAATGGATTTCAAGACACTATGTTAAAGATGGCTACCACACAAGAAGATAAGATGGATATAACTAAAGAGCATCCTATGTATGTCAATGCACAAGGTGCACTTGGGACTGATTTTGCAATCATGGGAAGGACACTGAATGCCCCAGGTATGTAAATGTTCAGCTGTTAGAAAATTTGAAACATAAAACTATTGAAACAGAAACTTTTTGAAAGATGTGCCAGTCATATGATAGGATCTTCTGTTTTCCTCTCAATCACTGGACCTGATTGTGGTTGCATTGTAGCAGTTTGTGTGGCATATTCTGCAATTTGGTTACTTCATTGTTTGAAAGCTTTGCTATTGGTCGCTGTTCAGAAGAGAATTTGAGTGTTAACGAGAAATAGAATTTTAGAATGAAAGGAATATGTCAAACATGTCCGACAGACCAGTTTTAAGTGTTAAACATCTCTATTCCCTCTCAAACTGGCTCTTTGTGCACTTGGGGCACTGATTGTTGGTGTTCCCCATCATCTAGCTTAGGACTATAGCTCTTGTTTATTATGTGTGCATTTTCTTTAAGACATGGAGTTTTTATGTAACATGCTGTCATGCATCTACAGGTGACTGGTGGGCAGGTTATGGTTATGAAATCCCGACACTCCAGCGGTTTGCAATACGGATTCTAAGCCAACCTTGTAGCTCCCATTGGTGCTGTTGGAACTGGACCACCTTTGAGAGCCTACATAGCAAGAAACGCAACCGAGCAGAGCTGGAAAAATTCAATGACCTGGTTTTTGTGCATTGCAATCTTTGGTTGCAATCCATTTATCAGAAGAGGGATGGAAAATGCAAACCCATAGCGTTTGATGAAATAGATGTTGGCTCTGATGAATGGCCTACTGAGTTGGATTCTCCTGCTCCACTCTTGGATGATTCATGGTTGGACAACTTACCCCTTGGGTGATACATGTATGTGTGTGCATGTATGTGTCTAATTATGTAATTTTGTATGATAATATTATAATCAGTGGTTGATATTGACACTCTAAGACCATCTCCAACTATGGGAGGTCAAACCTAAAACTTGAGATTTTTAGCCCAAAACCTTCTCCAACCCATGTATTTGGAGGGGTAATTTGAGTGGATTGAAAAATGGGGTGGAATTTCGCCTCCGATTCCAGTCCAGGCAGAATTTTTGTGGGGCCCATTTCGCAAAAGACAAGAGACACGTGAGGCCACATTTGAAGCAAATGATGGTTTGTTGAAGCAAATGACGGTTTGTTTCCCACTACCCCAAGTTGCTGGCCACTTGTCAAAGCCTAGGTAACTTAAAAATTGGACTTCTATGGCTGCATTTAAAATGGGCTTCTTTCAAATTTTTTTTTTCAAACCTAAAGGCTAGAAATTAACGGCTGATATTAAATTTTGGCTGGATCAAAGGGAAAAAAATTAATCTAACAACTAAAATTTAAATCCAAAGGTCAAAATCAGTAAATATATTATTATAAGTTGGATGCAACCTCAAAACATATCCTAAACTCTATAAATACCTATCAATTTGTTAATAAAATTATGTTTGTGAAATTTCAAAAAATTTATGTCAAAATGCTCAAAAAAATAAATCACGAAGTAACATGCAAAAATTAATTTTAAAAAAATTAACCACAAAAACAAAATAGGATTATATTATTCTTTAATAATTTAATAAAGTTGCGGACTCAAATTATGAGTCCGCAAGGTTGGAGGAAAAAACAATTTGAGTCCTAAAAATACATAAATAGTTGTATTTTGGAGAGTGAAAATTTGAGTTTATCCCCAACATGATTGGAGATGGTCTAATAACACTTATAATTTGATCTACTCCTAAAGATGATATGAAATGAGACATAGCTAACTGCCAAACTTGGCACAATTAGAAAAGATTCTACAGCCACAGAAAGCATATATGACTTTCTTGTTTCAACTTATTAATCTATATATCTGTTTTTTAATTTGTCTGAATATTAATCTAGATATCAAATTGGTGACGGACATCTCAAGTTCGAATCCCGTTCATTAAAAAAAAAAAAACAGGAAAAAACCATTTAAATTATCTTCCATTCTATACCCACCACAATCACAGAGTCCCATTTCTGATCACAACACACGCATCATGACATCCCCTTCCTACTACAGCACCTTGCTCTCATGGCAGTCTCAAGCCAATAACACTAATATTAACCAAACATGGCTGCTCTTTGCTGTCTCCGCCGTCGCCGTCGTCTTTTGGTATGCATGGCTCTACAAAAAGTCCAAGAACACGACCCTGCCGCTGCCTCCGGGCCCGATGGGCCTGCCCCTGGTTGGGAACCTACTATCTCTCGATCCGGAACTCCACTCCTACTTCGCGGGCCTGGCTCAAGCTCACGGCCCAATCTTCAAGCTCCGCCTCGGCAACACCCTCGGAGTCGTCGTCACCTCCGCCTCCTCAGCCCGCGAGATCCTCAAAGACCATGACATCACCTTCGCCAACCGCGACGTCCCCGCCGCCGGACGGGCCGCCACGTACGGCGGAAACGATATCGTGTGGACCCCGTACGGGCCCGAGTGGCGGATGCTGAGAAAAGTCTGCGTGCTCAAGATGCTCAGCAACACGACTCTGGACTCGGTGTACGAACTCCGGCGAAAGCAGCTCCGGGAAACTGTCGGGTACTTTTACAGTCGGGTGGGGTCGCCGGTCAATGTCGGCGAGCAGATGTTCTTGAACGTGCTCAATGTGATCACCAACATGCTGTGGGGTGGGACGGTGGAGGGCGATGAGAGGGCGGGGCTGGGGGTGGAGTTCCGGGAGGTGGTGTCGGAGATGACGGAGCTTCTAGGGAAGCCCAATGTTTCGGACTTTTATCCGGGTTTGGCCCGGTTCGATTTGCAGGGCGTGGAGAAGCAGATGGGCAGGCTGGCCCGGAGGTTTGATGGGATTTTTGAGAAGATAATAGATCAACGGATGAGGATTGACAAGCAAGGCCCGAAGGAGAGCAAGGACTTTTTGACGTTTTTGTTGAAGTTGAAAGACGAGGGAGGAGATTCCAAGACCCCTTTCACCATCACCCATCTCAAAGCTTTGCTCATGGTACGACTTCGTTTAACTTTCTTTTTCGGGGAAATAAACTTATCATCTTTGAAAGAAAAATTAGATCAATCTTAAGACATCTAATATTGTTGAAATAAATAGATAAACACGATTAGGGGCAGAGACACTTTCACAAGGTCGCCCTGGCTGGCCCCCCCAAAATATTTTGTGGACCAATTGTTTTTTCGGACCCAGCGTTTATACTACCCAACAAGAGGAAGAATCACCTGTGGGCGTGGTTTTGGGGATCAGCTCGTGCAACTGCGATCCGATGGTTGCTATTCAAGGCGCTCGCGTCAACTAACCGTTACTTTTTTTTTTTTTCTTCTCTTTTAACGTTTTAAAATTCGTTTTTAAAAATAAAAATTTGGTTTTTGAAAGTGCATCAATTTTTTCAAAATAACCATTGTGGGCTTATTTTTTTTTTCTTATCAAAAACACCTAAAATATGTCTATAAATACCTCCAAATTTCTTCAAAAATGTTCACACTCATTTTATTCCACATTTCCTACAAATTTTATCACATTATCTACTTATTCAAAACTTTCCACTCTTATTATTACTTTTTTGGATCAAATCTTTTCCACACTCATTTCATTCAAACATTTCCTACAAATTTATTATCTTTAGTTATTTTGTTATTCACATTATTTGAAAAATGTCATAGATTTCGAAGCGACTGAATTGGTCACGAGTGGAAGATGTTATCTTTGCAAGGCTTTCATAAAAGTCTAAGGAGATAGCGTTGTGGGTATTAACAATACATAATAGTGGAATGTATGAGTGTTATACAGTAGTTCTTCTTAAAATAATACAATATGGAAGGCCCTTAAATATAGCCTTATATGGCAAGAAATGAAAAAATTAGCCCTACACTATTTTTTTTAAAATTAATATTTTGGAGGGCTATATTATAGCATGTAGCTACATTTAGCACTCATGCCTGGAGATGCCCTTAATGATCGCCCCAGTAAATTCATTATAGGTAATAATGTGAAGGATTTAGAAAGTAATTTACTTGAGACTGCCCTTGGTAATTTGTTGGGCTTGGTCGTTTAGGGGGTGCAATCGTAATTAAATTTTCATTCAAACTTGACTGTTGGGAAGATTTTGGAGGTGAATAGAAGAAGTCCCTAGTTAAAAATTAAAACCTTAAAACTTGTTGTAAACAAATATTAATGCTTAAGCTTCCAATTGATGAAATAATGCAGCTAGACAGTGTAAACCTGGATGTTTCGTTGTTCTTGTTTCAAGTTAACCAACCAAGTCCATTAACATGATGTTCTGTAATCTGGCTGTGGGCAGGATATGGTGGTGGGTGGCAGTGACACTTCCTCCAACACAGTTGAGTTTGCATTGGCTGAGATTATGAACAAACCAGAGGTGATGAAGAAAGCCCAGCAAGAACTAGAAGCTGTAGTTGGCAAGCACAACATTGTAGAAGAGTCTCACATTCACAAATTACCCTACTTACAAGCTGTGATGAAAGAAACTCTGCGCTTGCACCCAGCCCTGCCACTGTTAGTCCCTCATTGCCCAAGTGAAACCTGCACTGTGGGAGGCTACACCATCCCGAAAGGATCCCGGATTTTCTTTAACGTGTGGGCAATACACAGGGACCCTTCCATTTGGGAAAACCCATTGGAGTTTGATCCAGAAAGGTTCTTGAACAGCAAATGGGACTATAGTGGAAATGACTTCAACTATTTCCCATTTGGATCTGGCAGAAGAATATGTGCAGGGATTGCAATGGCTGAGAGGATGGTGATGCATTCACTTGCTACACTTGTGCACTCTTTTGACTGGAAAATGCCACAAGGACAGAAGCTGGATCTTTCAGAGAAGTTTGGAATTGTGCTGAAAAAGAAGATGCCTTTGGTTGCTGTCCCAACTCCTAGGTTATCTGATCCAGCACTCTACGAGTAGCCCAACTTCTTTTTCACCCACAAATATTTCTTGGGATAATTGTTGTGTGTATGTGTCTTTCAGAACATGGTAAAATGGGGATGAATTTACGGTGCATTATTTGGGAGTTGAGGCCCCATTACGAAGACTTATTAATCTAGATATTTTTTGCTGTCTGAATTATATCTAGATATCAAGTTGGTGGTGACAAAGCTCTCAAGTTCGAATTCCGTTTATTTTCTAGAGAGCTTTGCTTTTTTTATTTTCTTTCCGTGGGTTTGCTGTTCTCATCAAAAGATGCTTTAGGATTAGTTTGGCACTACTGTGCTTTTAAGAAAAATTGCTTCTGCTGTGCTGCGATAATAATCAACTGTGAAAAAAAATAGTTAGGCATTTGGTAAACTGTATTCGAAAAACTGCTGTAAGTAGTCAAAGTGTTTGGTAAATTTTTATCAGAAGTGCTTTTAGTGTGTATAATGACCAAAAAGAACATGAAGATGAAATTGTTTATTTTTTTTCTTCATTCTTTTTCTACTTAAAAAAAAAAAAACTTAAATTGTTTTCTTTTTTTAATTTACACTTTTTTTATCTAAAAATTTAATCTAAAAATATTTTTATATTAATAAAATATAAAAATATAAAAATATATATACAAAATTAAAATTAAAAACAAACAAACCCATCACCGTACCCGCCCCATCTCTCTCTCTCTCCCCCCATTCTCTTCTCCATCGCCTCAAAACACCGGGGAAAAAAAGCTCAGATCAAGAATTTTAAAACCAAATACTCAATCCAAACCCATATCAAGAGAGGTTTGAGTTCATGGTCCTTTGCTTTATGTATGTGAGTGGGATTGTAAGATTGGATTTTATTTTGGTGGGAAGCTGGGGGTTTGATTTTTTTTGGCTGGACATGACGGAGTGGGGAAGCTGGGATTTGGATCTTTTGTTGCATGGTTTGGTAGTTGGTAAATTCATTGAAGGTAAGGTTTGCTTTATCGTTTATTTTATAATTTATATGTTTACAGAGTTATCACTTCTCTGTTTTTCTCTTGCTCTCAAATCTTAGATTTTGAACTATTCTTCAAGG